GTGTGTGTGTGGGGGGGGGGGGGTGTTGTGTATACAACACGGCCATCCCACGTGGCGTGGGAAACCTGTGGTGGAGCTCATCAAGATCCCATTAGCAGTTAACCTGCATGTATAATATGCAGAATGACCCGATAAGCATCCAATATTATTAGTTAAGCAGGGAATAAAGGGGGAAAAAAAGGGGGAAAAAAAGGGGGGCGATTTGTTAAGGAGCATGAAGGAATTAGTAATTAGTGTTAGTAGGTTAGGTGTTAGGAGAGGGACAAGTCCCAATCGTAGGGGGGGTGCACGCCCTTAAGCGCGCTTTTCGCTGCATAGGACCTATAGCAGCTCATCAGAGGGATTAGTATGAGCTCCAGATGGCATAGTTGGAGAAGAAGGGAAGGGGGTATTTTGGGGAGCCAGGGAAGGGAGGGGAGAGGGGAGGGGGGCATAGGACAGGGCGAGGTTAGTATTCCATACCTGCGAGGTCAAGATCGGTGCAGCTTGAGGATCAGTTGCTGCCATTGTGCTGCAAGMACTTGTGTAGCGCGAYGTTAGAAYGCAATCYGCGTAAGCTGAGCGCCCGATGAACRGACGTTCTTCACACCGTCAGCASGWGCAGGAACAGCRTGGCRATCAKCCCTTCCTATCARAGAAGCYGCTGAGCCGTGAGGGAGGTAGGGGAGCAGGTGGAGCAGGCAGCAAGTCGTGCGTTAGAGCACGGGGGCGCYAGCGGTTGTGAAAAAAAMCATATCTCTCGTATGTCCGATGCATAGCAAARAGGGTATGAAGGCTGCGGGTGGATAGTATATGATAGAATATCAAAATGTATGAGGAGGGTGTAYCGTAGATGGGGTAGGTTAGATGTAAGGGTAGAGGATCCATTTTRGCAGAGGTTGTAGCAYAGATAAGAGGGGTGYGCGCRGTGTGTTTGGATATGGGGTGGAGGAGGAACAAGCGCCTTGTTGTGACAACTTGTTTTGCGATGTTCATAATTTTGCGACGGTAAGGGTAGTGGGGTATTAGCGTGAGCAATTATTACTAGGGGTGGTGGGTCTAGGTGACGTAATCATTTGGGTGATGTTTGATGGGTATATTGCTTCGGGCTGCGGGTTCTGGTGAGCGCGTGGGTGTGTTACAGTGGACTTGCAGTCGGGGAGTGTGTGCATGGGTATGGCCGACGAGATGTCAAGGGGGTACAGTTCTTCCTTTGTCTGTTCTCATTGTTTGTCGTTTTTTAGGTGGGGGGTTTTGGCTATGGCGGGAGCAGTGGTATGTCAGTTTTCTTTACTGTCCCGTGCGCGTGTGCTTTGTTTTTTTCGTTCTGTGTTTGGTTGTGTCGTTTCAGGGTTGTGGTGTTTTGTGTTGCCGGAAAAAGTGTTGGGATGTGCAGTGCCGTGAGTGAAACGTTTTATCCCCTCGCGTGTGAATGTTGTAGAATTAAAGTTTTATAATCTGAGCAATCGTGTACAGTGCCAAGCAGACCCATAACTTTGTTATAGTGGATGTATGTTTTGCATATTTAGAAACAGTTTCCGATTTAGAGGGAGGCGTGGTAAATGACAAAACTTGAAACCATAAATCTGGCAAGTGTTGGGGGGGTACGGGGTATGCGAAGTCTACAATTAATATTAATCTTAGTAGTATTTTAATTTTGCATATAATTTGTTGGATTCAGGTTTATAGTTAATTTTAAATCATAAATAATAAAATTTAAATATTTTATTATTATTATTTTAATGAACTACAAAAAAAAATTATTTGTTATTAAATTATTACTTATTTATTAAAAAGTTATTGAGTATTTATAGATTAATTAGGAATTATCTTGCAAAAAATGAATTAAAAAATTAAAATAAAAATAAAATAATAAAAAAAGAATATATGTGTGTGTGTGTGTGTGTGTGTGTGTCCCTCCCCGTTCCCTCGTAATGGAGGAGCGGGTGGGGTAGGTCTTTTATGCTTTTGGATTAAGGACCTACCCCGGGTGGGGTAGGTCCTCCATCCGAACGAAGCCAGTTTTGGCTACATCACACATGTTGTTTATTTTTTTGTCTATTTTTTATTTGTGTCGAAGCTGGTGTAGTACGGTTTGTGGGCAGCATCGGAAGGGTTGGTATTCTTCTGGGTGCTGTAGTATCTTACTAATAATACCTAACAACCTGTGTCTTGGGAAGCCATTATGTGTCATGCAGTTAACTGTGTGTAGGATTTCAGAGGTAGCATGTTGCGCATCAGTTTCAATGAGCATTATAGTGATGATTTGCGGAATGACCAAGTTCAGTGATTGTTGTGTTGGCCTGTTCGAATGTGCTTGTATGAATCTGGTGATTGGGAAGTCCAATTCCCGTCTTTTGTCATATCTGTAAGTTTTGTATTGACCAGTGGTAGTGTTAGTGATATCGATTGTAGTGTTGAGGAAATTAGCTTTGATTCCGATATACCTTTTGTTTCTCAGTATTTTTTCTGTGGTTTGTTCGTTGATGGTGATGAGGTGAAGGGGGTACAGGAAAAATTTGCTTCTTGTGCTGGTGTTTTCGGGGTTGAGGAATTCATGTACACGTGGGTTGTTGATGATGTGGAGGTCATCGAAATATCGGAACACATGCTGGAAAAGAGGAAGTAGGTGCATGTTTGCTTTATGAGTGATTTTTCTTATGAATTTGTATTCGTATTTAAAAAAATAAATGTTACACCACATGGCTGAACAGCTTACACCCATGGGGATACCAAGTGTCTGTTTTCATACTTCGCTACCAAGTGAGGTGTAGGCGTTAGAAATAAGCCAGTCATTGATGGCGCAGACAATTTCGCAGTTGACTGTTAAGTAGCCGGGGGGAGGGTGGTGAAACTAGTCGCAGAGGGGGGTTGCTTGGTCAGTTTTATAATAAAGTTTGAAGGCAAGTTGTATCCCTCTACCATGGATTGCCTTAGCTTGCTGGAAAGCCATCCTTGTGAAGAACCGTAAAGCACTGGGGAGACCGTCCGGGCTACTATCAGTGGGAATAATTTCGTAGCATCTTGTGATATCTGCAGAGAAAACTGACATTGCTTGTAGTGGTAAATTATAGACATAGTCTGCTGTCGAATCTATGGGCCACCAGTAAGGAACCTTCAGGCCAATTTTAGTGAGAGTTTGCTGTGTTAACCCTCCGCAGTGTATTTTCACAATTTTGATGAGCGTTTTCATTATTTCAGCAGCGAGGTCGGCAAGGGGGGAATAAATGATGTCAGAGGCATTGGTTAACCAGCGGAAGGAGTTTTTATACTTCTTGTAGGTGGCAAAGAGGTATGGTAATGCCTTTTTACCAAGCGGTATGTCAGGAAAGATCGAGGACAGTTCCAGTTCGAGTTGTATAGGTAGTTCATTGGTAGTGCAATGACAAGGTTCAAAGTCTGGGCTAGAAAGCCTTCTGAGGGCTAACTGTCTTACTAGGTTAATGCAGATTACCACAGGAGTGTTAGGTGCTTTGTCCGCACCGGAAATGTAGAAGTGTTTAGTGAGAAAGTCTATCTTGTGTTTGATTGTATATTCGTTCATGTTAATTTCTCTGTGATGCCGTGTGTTAGAGGTCAATTGCAATATGATGTCCAGAAATTCCTTGCTGGCCTGTGGTATGTGTTCGTTTGGTATGGGGCGTCATTTCATTTCAGTATTTCCATTAGATTATCCCATACCTGGTGTGCAGCAACGATGGTGTCATTTTGGTTGGGTGTTTGTGCGGGGATATGGTTTAGTCCGTACCGGGTAAGTTTCTGCAATTCCCTGTTGGTGATAATGTCCAAATCCAGTGTAAGGACGTGGGCCCCGTTTTCTGGTTGGAGGTCCTCTGGTGGTAGAGGGGTAGCGAATGCCGCATACCTTTGATGCTGTTAATAACATTTCTCTTGTGTTTGATTCATCCATTCGGTGAGGGCGAAGTCCCGGAAGACCCGGAAGACCGCAACGGGTTTGTATAGAGTTTTAGCAATGTGGTCGTTATATGTCCAGGAGAATGTGCATTTGTTCAGTAGTGGGAGTGCAAGCGGGTTGTATCTATCCAGAATTTTATCGAATATTTTTCTGAATTTTAGTCTGTCCATTAAACGGTTGGTGTAATGGCATAGGATGATAATCTTGCTATCTTCTTTGGGGGCTCTCTAGCCGAGTCTTCCATCCTCCATGGTTTGCAGTCGATGTACCTGCACCCACATCATCTCAATTGAGGTTAATACACTTTAAATAGTTGTTGTTTTATTAAGAGCATTAATGATTGTCAAAAGGTATCTGTTTGCAGTATTTTGTTCTTGTGATAGATCAAGCGGGTAAGTTGATTTTGGCATTTGTTTGTTTTTAGGGGATGTTGGGTATCTGTTGGCAGGCCATGGGTGGAATGCTACATTTGTGATTTCCAGCTGAACAGAGAAGATGTACTTATTCAGCTATTTTAGGGTTGAGTCGTAGGTACATATCAAGTAGGTAAGGGCGGGTAAATTGATATTTTTGTTTGGGGGTATAGTTTTGTCATCAAGGTGTCTTTAGGTACAGGCTGCAGTTTATCTGAGTTTTAATCATTCTGAAATTCCCAGGGAATGCATACAGTTACATTATTATTGCCGGAACCAGCAAAAAACATTGTTCATATGTTAAGAAAGGAGGTCGTGCGTTGGTCAAGTATAGTTTTTTTGTAGTAGTGTCTAGTTTGGGGGTAAACAACAGGTAGGGAAGTAGACATCTTATGGCGGCATTTCAATGGGCAGAGAGAAGGGGGTTGGGATGTGGGGTCGGTCATGGCAAGCAACGCATGAAAATACTGCAAGAATCTTTTTATAATCACAAGCTTTAAGTAACCAGGAAACACGTTAAAGAACAAGAGAGTAGAGGCGTATAGCCAGAAAAACAATAAACCAAGGTTCTTTATAGGCCGGTGCGAGACCCACAAAAGGCAGAGACCGGACAACAATGCTGTCTAAGTACCTGGTAACATAGCTCTAAAAAATCTTGTTCAATCGGAGTAGCATCTACGATAGCTCAGAGAAAAAAACAGAGTCCTGATTAACTGAGTCAGGGTGCGGGGCCGTGATCATTAGGCCAGCCAAACTTTGTAGTCTGCCAGAGTCCTGCTGCAGTATCAGATGCCTGATCAGAATAATTGGAGGCTATCGTCTTACCAGCGTACAATCTTTAGTCTATTATTTAAAAGAAGCAAGCCTATTGTTTATCAGATTGCCTAAGGGGCTAACAAGCTTACTTGTTAAAAACATTATTAAGGTATTTATGCGTGTTGTTGCTCAAGTCTGGCGTCAGTCCCCTGAAGCTATATTTGAAGTGATACTAAAACCCGTTGTGCAAACAAACAGCGGCAGCGAGAGGTAGGATAGGAAGGTGTGAAGGTAACATCCAGGGGAGCAGGACGGGGAGCAATAGAGATTAAGAGAAAACATGGAAGAAGTGGGTGAGCGAAAGACAGAGGTTGTGGGGAGGGGAACGAGAAGAACTTCAGTGCGAGCAATGAGGTGGGTAGAGGGGTGGAAGGGGAGCCGTAGGGATCATGCACGAGGAGAAAAGAGGAAGAAAGAGAGATGGCGGGGGAGTCATGAGCAAGCGAGGGACATAGAGGTCGAGAGCAGGGGGTACATAGGAGAAGAAGGTATGTTTCAATTAGTAGGGGTTATTACTACATAGTACGGGGGAAACGGTAACCCGTTGTTATCCGAGACAGCTTGTCTGTGTCATCATGCGGCCAATCAGCTTCTTGCAATACTTGTGGCGCCAGCCAGATAATCTGGACTGAGCCTGCGGCAGACTCTTTTCCATGATGCCTCCGAAGATGTGGACTCGATGCCGAGCGCTGTCTGGTTGCTGAAAGTATGGAGGAGTGATGATTCTGCGCTGCTGGCACCGTAGTTATGCCTCAGAGCTTCGACAACATTTGCAGGTCGTATCGGCGTTTCTGCGGATGGTGAGCTGATGGTGATAGGGAGTTGAGGTCTGCCACCATCCAAGATTTCGTTGCTGCTTGTCGGGATGACTTTGGGGTTTGGTTGTGCAGGCGGCTGTCGCGGTACGTTTCCATCAGCGAGGTGTTGTGGCCATTGTTGTAGCAGTTGCACTGTGGGTGGAAGCCAGGTGCGATCGGGCTGCGACAGTTGGGCAGGATGCGCTGGGCCCTCAGCAGCAATAGCAGGGGAGTTGGTACAATTGCCTTGTTGGGCTGTCATCAGGCGCAACGGGTGGGCGGCCAAGACATTATGTCGTTGTGCCTGTGCATGGAAGATGTCATCCATGTATGGTTGTCGGTGATCGTATTGCTGATTGTTGCGCGTTGCCCTCTTATGCTTCTGCCCGTCGTTCTGTTGTGTGTTCAGTCTGGTGGTCTTGTTTCCCCTTCGGGTCTTTCTTCTTTTCTCAGCGGGCAGCGGGTTCATTGCAATTCTAAGCAGCTGCTTCCTCCTCTGTGCCCCCTTTTCTGCATCTGTGGCTAGGTTAAGAGGCCGTTGTGTGGTGGAGTTGGTGTTGCTGAGCGGTGTGGGTGCTGAGGCAGTGGGCAGTACGCTGGGAGTAGTGAAGAGGTTTGTGGTGGCAGCTCCTTGTACTGAGAACAAGGGGCATGTGCTTGACGTGCTCGGGTTAGTGGAGGTGATGTTTCTGGTGGCAAGCTGAGCTGCAGCGAACGTGAAGGCGTTCATTTGCAGGGGATGAGCGGTGGGGGCATTGGGGGGTTGCAGATCAGAGGGGTTGGCAATGGGAATAGGCTGCGGACCAGTTTGTGTACTGGGGTGCAGCGAAGGGTGACTGTTGGGTGGTGGGTATGCGTGGTTCTGTTGTGCGTTCTGGTTGTTGTGCGACGTGCGTACTATATCGTGTCTTTGCCCAGTTGGCGAGACGCGAGGGGGGTGGGGGCTATCTGTTGGTGTTGGCTGAGCAGTCAAACCAGGTTCTCTTAGTGGCTGGGGTGTTGCGTCTGGAGCAGCAGTGTGTGGTTTGGGATTGGAGGCAGGTGGAGAGGCAAGGTGCACTGGTGTATATATATTGGCCGTGCTTGGCAACGGTGACGGTACGTGCACACTGGTGGTTGTGCATGGTGCTTGTGCAGTGGATGAGCGCGTTGCTGGTGAGGACGAGGCAGGGGTTCCAAGTCGCATCTGGCGGCATCTACGCAAGGAGTTGTCTTCAAAGTCTATGGTGCCGCTTCTTCTGGTGGCATCTGGTGTGAGCAGTCCTTCAGCGTTCGGGAGGAGAGCCGCGGTGAATTTTCGTACAAAAGGCACGTTCTGGAAATCTTCAAAGGCGAGGATTTCGTCAGCGGAGATGTTCTTGTTCTGCGTGATGAGGTGCATAATCTTCATCATGTATTCTCGCATGAACAGGAACGTAATCTGGGCCAGAATCGGTCTTTTCCAAGATGTGCGCAGCAGGGCTTGGAATTCGAGCATGTGGATCTTGTCTGATGGTGCATTCGGATCCAACTTGTCAAGGTTGCCGATGATGTACCAAATCATGTGGTCGAGCCATGTGAAGTTCAATTCGCACCCGTTGCATGCGCACTTGAGGAAAGGTCTTCCGGCATTCCACAGTTTCTTCAGTTCAAGCAGATCTGCAGGAAACCTAGGGATGCCTTTCTAGTGCAGCACCGACTTTTTTGGACACTTGCCTTTCTCCAATTTGGCGATCGGCAGGAAGTCTGCGTCATAGCCGGCACGCCCAGCCGGAAAGTGGATAGTACCGTTCCTGGCAGCTGTTCGACAGTTGTCTATGTCCGTATTACTCAGGCCGGCGAGCGCCATGTATGCGTCCACACTGATCGGTGCTGTGTAGTTGAAGGAATTCAGCTTCCAAAGTCTGTTGTGAACCTTTTGCACAACTTTTTCCGTCCATGTGCTTGATGCGAGTGGTAAGAAGGAGCTGTTCTTGCCGAGCTTGTGGTTGGTTTCGTTGGATGAGCTGGTGATCTCCATGCAGGCGTTGTCCCTTCTCAAGGCCTTCTTTTTCTTGAGATAATCTAGTTCTGCAGGCGTAAGTGCAATGTTGCTGATGTAGGTGTCCGTGAAGGTTTCTGAGGTGTCGTTCGTAGATATCTGACCAGCACAGTCTAGATGCGAGGTGTTATAACCGTGGAGCTCGAGGAGGATCTTCTCAGCTTTAGCAACGATGAGGTTCAGTTCTCTGTTCTCGATTGCAGACTTTCTACAGACTTCTGCGATGTTGGCGGCAAGCTCCTTGATCTTGTCTTCGAGCTCATGGGGTCTGGTTTGCATGACAGCAACCATTGTGGCCCAGTCGCTGAAGGACAGGTTCTCTATAAGGAAGGGAGTTTGTCCGTTCGAAGCTTGGTGTACACGTAGGAGGACATCAGCAGGGATAGCCAACATGGCTATCTGACAGTGAACGTTGGGGGGCTTGAGAGCGGAGAATGGTCTAATAGTCGTGACCAGCTCCGGGTGCCATCCCATCAGAATACTGTCTTGGTCCTGCACAACGTAACATACGCGCATCGAGAGATAGTGTATACTTGTTAGTAGTGTTCATACGATGTGCGAGCATGGTTATAGGGGGGGGTAAGGGTCCTAGGTACCTTAGTGTGGGATGGTGGGAGCAGTCGTAGGTTGGGCGCTGTATGCGTAGGTATATTTGTTATTTATAGGTAGTGACGAAAATAAACTGTGTTGCATGCGAGGTCAGGATCATGTTGCTCGAATCGGGGGAAGGGTACAGTGTAACTGCTGTGTTTTGATGACCATCGTTTAGTTTGTAGTATAGTTATGGATTTCTCAATAGTAAGGTTGCAGTAAAGAAGGCCTGACGGGGTGTTGCATACCTGAGTCTTAGGTTGAACCTAAGTTCGGCTGATTTATAACGGCTGCAGGTGGTAACAATATATTTTTTATTTTTATTTTTTTTTATTTAAAAAAAAAAACAAATTAAAATTTACTTTTTATTTTTTATTTTTTTTTTTAAAAATATTTTTTATTTTTTATTTATTTTATTATTATTATTATTATTATTATTATTATTATTTTTTCATTAAGGAAGTTAATTTATTTTTTGAAAAAAATGTTAGAGGTCCTTATTTTGTGTACAGTTGAGGAGGGATTCTAAGCAAGCCATGGTCCGGCCAGGGTCAGGGGGGTCCCCAAGGCAAGGACGGTGTTAGTCTGTTATATTGGGGTTTCGGCAGATAGTCCGGGGGCCTGTCCTAATTATCGCAAGCTATACGTGCTTGGGACTTGCGTTAATTTTTAATTATTTTATTTATATATGTATATATATATATTATTTGTTTGGGAATATTATTGTAGTTATTATTTTTGTTATGTATGTTTATTTAAGGATAATTTATGTGAACAGTATTCGTATTACATACAGGAATAGCGGGTTATTGTAATAACACAGTTTCCGCAAAGAGCATATAGTTGGTGCGGCTAGATAATTTATAGGGGATCATAGGTGGGTAACGCTAGTTAGTGGTGGTTATTCGGGTAGGTAGCTCAGCTGTAAGCCGTTCGACTCCCTTTTCTCAAAGACGTTCACGGCGTAGTCGTAGTGGTACTATCGGTATTGTTGTAGTAATAGCACAGCAAGTGCAGGCGGGTAATGGGGTCCGTCTCAACAGGTATTATATTTTTGTAAAAAAACTTGTTTCAGGGAGGTCTGTCGTCCGAGGCACTTTGATATTTAAGGAAAGTTATGAATGGTTATTTTGCGTATCGATCGGGGGGTGGAGGGTTGCCATTATACGTGGGGAGAAGTGGCCGTTTAGGGGATCAATCTAAGTTGGAACCGGAAAGCCATAAGTTATAGAAAAAATTGATGAGAATTTAGTCCATTGCTTGGTACTATAAATTTTTATTAAATTATCATTAAATTATGATTAAACTATTGATATTTTTTTTTTATTTATATTTTATATTTTAAATTTTGTATTATGCATATTTTGTAATTTTATATCTCATTATAAGGAAACAAGGTTAGGTGGAGTCACACATGTGTTAATCGATAGGAGATCCATTGAATTGTTACTTACTTATCGTTACCTTATACTTGTGTACTATATAGTATACGAAGCGATTTGCATAGGTTATTATAGCATAAGGAGTGAAAGATGCCAGAGGGTCAGTGGGCACGCTCGTTTTAATTTTAATGGGGCAGATTTGGCGGAGGGTACAGCGTGCAGCGTTTTTCGATATTGGACGAAGGTGGGACGAAAATTTCAGCATGCTTGGTATAGGTTGTCGGTATAACACGATGACAGGGTAATTGCTAGGTGTCCGACAAGTATTTAATGAAGCATGAGAGTAGGTTAGCATAAGTTGCGGAGCATTTCCGTTTGTTGCGGAAACGTGGCCAAGTGGTTGCATATAGGGGCGCTGCAGGAAATTCGGTAGTCGTGGGGGACTGGAAGAGTTTATCATTGGGGTGAGAGAGAGAGAGAGAGAGAGAGAGAGAGAGAGAGAGAGAGAGAGAGAGAGAGAGAGAGAGAGAGAGGGAAAAATAGGGTAGAGGAGCCAGAGTGGGGAAGGAGGCGAGGGCTACGGAGGAGAGGGGGGAGAGAGGGGGGTTGCAGGGGCGAGAACAGTGGTTGGAAGTGAGCGACAGAGGCGAGAAGAGGAGAAGGAGAGAGGAACTCGGAAAGTGAAGGCGCTATGGATATTGTGACTATGTGTGTGGGGGATGTACGGGGCAGGGCAATAGTTGTGCACGAGCTGCGCCATCGTTCGGGAGAGGAGAAGGGATTGGATTACCGGTTCAGTCTCCGGGTTAAGGAATCAACGGTGCGTCATTATCGTGTGATGGCGGATGGCGAACTAGCTTTAGAGTTGTGCGTGGGATTTGGGTATGATAGGGAGGAATTCCTATGTGAGGTTACTGTATTTGTGAAGAAGATGCACAAGGATGTGCCTGATTCTGTTTCAGGTATTGGTGTTGATGTGGTTGCGGAGATGGTGGAACTAGTGACCAGCGATTTGTTGCAGGAGCACGACGGGCGTCAAGTGGATTTCGTGGAGTGGGAGGCAATAATGGAGCCTCCATTGCAAGAGCGCAAGGGTATGCGGGGTGTACTACGCATCGGAGACGTTTATCAGTGGTGATTCTCTAGGGCACGGCAGCGTTTTGTTGGGTAGTCATTTCAGGTGGTCCCAAAGCTTTAGGGGGATTGAAGGTATAGTTCCACGTAGTTGTGCGAAAGGGGGTTGTAAGCTGGTATGGGCGTTTGATGGCGTCTAAGCAGGATGTTCGTATGTGAGAACATTTAGCTACTGGTGATAAAGCTCGGGCGAAAGACAGTAGGGGGCCATCTGTTTTTTAAGGGGGTAGTGTGGTAGATGCGGTTATGCATCTTGGTTTTAACACCATACTTGTTTTCGTATGCGATGCGTATATTCTAAAGGTTTTTGAGGTTACTGTCATTCCAGTGAAACAGGAGAGAGGCCCAATGGATGAATATCTGTTATGTTTTGGCCTTCTCTTTCTATGTGCTAGCTTTGTTCACGCGTGAGAATTGTCAGTGACTACGATTTTTGGTTTTCGGACATTTGTAAAAAGTTTTTTTCGGAGGAAAGATACAGTGTACTGGAGTTGATTCCAAAAGTTGGTTTTCGGATATTTGTAACAAGTTTTTTTGGAGGAGAAGATTCAGTGTATTGAGCTTGATTCCAAATGTTGGACTAGATCTATCCCTGCATTTCTTTGTTTGAAAAAGGGCATTACCACCGTGTATTGTGTGGGCCATATACAGATCGTGAAAAATGTACAAAAATGTACGTTAATCAAGGCGTTTACTATTATGAATTGGAGAGGTGCGAAAGTACTGTGTATGCTAGTGATGTTTCTCAATAAATCATACGCATTAAGGAAATAAGAAAATTTATAAAGATTAGGTTGCCCCTCATGAGCCGTGTAAGAGTTGTTCGTGTAGAGGGTAGCATTTTAATTACGTGCAGGGCAAAAAATGCTCGATCAGTCTGGATAGTTTTTTCAATGGGGGGGCAGACCAACTTAGGGCAAAGAACCGTAGCAGGTAAGCATTCGCAATCCAGGTGCCTATCATTGGATAACAGCCAATACTCATCTCAAAAAGAAAATCGTCATTCTTTGAATTTACAAGATCGCGGAGGAATATTTTAAGCAATGGTACTGGGGCGTGATTATCACGAGGCATTATTGTTTATGAGGGTTCGTTTAGCGTTTAAACAAGCGTAAACGTCCAGATCTACATCTCAATACACATCTCAGAAAGCAATACACATTTCAATAAGCAAAACGTTATTCTTTGAATTTCCAAATTCGTGGAGGAAACATTTAAGTGATGGAACAGAGACCCGATTATCACAAGCATTATAGTACTCAAAAAGCAACCAAAACACATCTCAGAACGCAAATCGTGATTCAATACCGCGGAGGAATATTTTAAGCGATGGAACTGGGAACCGATTATCAAAGGCATTATTGTTAGTGAGTTTAGTATTGTTTGAACATGTGAGTTCGTTTCGTGTTTAAACAAGCGTACCCCTTCAGAGCTACGGATCGGAAAGCAATGGTTCAGAAGCCAAAACACATCTAAAAAAAACAGATATAAATCTCAAAAAGCAACATCTCAACAATGAAGTGGTCATTCTTTTGAATTTCCAAAATCGCGAAGGAATATTTTAAGTGGTTCGTCATTCTTTGAATTTCCAACACACATCTCAAAAGGCAAATCGTTCTTCTTTGAATACGCATCAAAAATGCAAATCATCATTCTTTGTATTTCCAAGATCGCGGAGGAATATTCTAAGCGATGGAACTGGGACTCGCTTATCAAAAGCATTTATGTTAGCGACTTTTGTATTGCATTTTATAGATCGAGGATGAATATTTTAAGCGATGGAACTGTGACCCAATTATCAAACAACAAATCCTTAAAGCATTATTGTTAGCGAGTATAGTATTGGTAGAACCTGAGGGTTCGTTTAGCGTTTAAGCAAGCGTATACCTCCAGAGCTTCGGACCAGAAGGTTCGTTCTCCTCCATAGGCTATCCATCAGAAGAGTCTGTAGTTACGTACGTGACACAAGAGGTTAGATATATTTATGAGGAAAAATATGTGTCAGCATAGTAGGTTTGGCATTAATGATTTCATTTGATGCAAAGTTTTGGGTTGTACTTAGTTGTAGCATGCTAGTTGTTTATAAGCGAAACCATCGTAAGTTTAAGGCACTTGGAAGGGTAAATTTGCGGTTGCGTAAGGAGTTAAGTGGGGCTGACTTTTGCCAGCACAAAATATATCTGCGGGGCAGTAGGTATTCGTGAGAAGGACAGCCAAGAGACCGGGGTGGGGGATGTAACATCGTTTATTACTGCGTGGGGAAGGGGTGAGTGATTAACAATGAGGCAGAGACGACATAATCCAAGCCTAGCTACTAGAAGTTTAACTTATGGGAGCATGTGTGCTGATCATCGCCAGTCTAAACGGTGAGTATAATCAGAATGCCGGAGTAATTATTACGGGTCGGAAGTTGGTGTTAACTCCCAGTGCCGGACCTAACCTTTCTTAGTAGTGCTAACTTTAGAGGATGAGGCAACCGATTATGTACGTATTTTGTTAATCAAGGCCAGGTGAGCTCATCGGGTAAACCCTATTTTTAGTAGGTTTCAAAGGAACGACGAAATATAGGATATTTTAACCATATAGGTATGGTTCCTTGTGGGGTGTTGAAAATTTCGTATTGCGAGGGAACGGGCCAAATAAAACTCAGCGTATATCATCTTTTTGCGAGAAGAGATCGGAGGAGATGATTTACCTTACACACACAAAAAAAGCCAGCAACACACTACGAAAAAAATACTAGGTCCGTTGCTTATGGTGGATAAGGTTAGGCTTCTCTGAAAAGACGAGCCCTCAGTAATAATCTACGTTCTACGGGGTTGTTTATGGAGTATCTAGAAAAAGGCCACTACTATAAGGTTACGAGCATACGTGTGCACGATTTTTTGTAAAGTACATTATCGGAAAAGACCAGGGCGGGAGACACTCGTGTTATGGACATCGGAGGGGTTCGCAGAAGAAGCGCAAAGCAATCTCATGTGAAGTTACTGCTAACAGATTTTAATTTTTCCACTAAGATAACCATTTGCCTTGAGACCGAGGCTAATCCTCCTAAAAAATAGATTCTCCATCGAAGGAAAGTTTAGTCACACACGCGTGCATACGAGGGCAGGTGTGGTTGCCTTATGGGTCGGGGCCGGTGCGTTATTTAAATATTCTTGAGAACTAATATTCAGATCAGAGGGTAATCGTGTATTATTACCCGAAGAGGACGGGGTGTGAAGACAAAACACATCTTTCAGTTAGTATAGATGAGGAAAGATGCCAATCAATAATATGCAATACATGCTGGTTTGCTGAATGATCGTTGCACTTCCAAGCAGAGACAATAGATGTTTGAATCGTAGATGTAGGTGGGCACGTCAGTCCAGGCGTTAAGTGTACACATATGTACCAACTTATGGTGTTAAACAGATGTATCAATCAAGCATGACGAGTTTTTTTGCCTTTATGCGGAGATTAGTCGTGTCGTGGCCATGACACATAATTAACCGAAGTATTACGCGAGCGTGTGGAAGGGGGTAAGAGAAGCTATTGCGGAGGATAAGCATATTATGGTTGTAGATAGTACGAATAACGGTGTTTTAAACTGTTGAGAAAAGTACAGTGGAATTAGCTACATAATATCTGCTATGTGTGAGCTAGAAAGGCGTATAGTGGGGCAAAAGTCGTGGGGTATGTTCGAATCAGCGAATGGCTTGGGTAATAAGGATCCGGAGGTGTAGCATGTAAGCGTATCTGACAAGAGTATTATAAAGTGTATTTACTTTATAGCCAGCAGTACCGTATCAGATTATCATATGGGGATGTGTGGGGTTATATTTTTGCGGTTGGGGGAGGGGGGAGGGGGGAGGGAGGGTTAGGTACACGTGGCTACTTTCGCTAGAGGGCAGGTGGGGAGGATTATTATAATGGGTGAGGCCAGGGTACTTTAGCCGGTTTAAGTTTTTATCCTAGAATATAGATGTGGGGGCGAGGGGGAGGGGGCGAAGCGGGTAGGAGTCGGTCAGGAGAAAATGTAGTTGAGATATTATGTTGTGGCTGTATGTAGTACAAATCTAATTAACATGTGTATAGGACAAGGATGTGTCTATTATGTATTCACTAGGTGTTATGAATTAGTTATACAATGTGGTAGGAATAGATGGTGGTTCTATATATGAGGATGGAGGGAAAAAAAACGGGGGGCTGTCGTTAGATATCGGGGGATTACTTGAATCATTAACATTCGTGCGCAACGTTCAGAGATACTCAGGAACCCATGCAAAAAAAGGGCAGATGTTACTTAGCATCTTTCAAAAACCAAAACTCTGCGGATAGCGCCGTCAACATTATCCCGATCAGTCCATTCATTCATAAGCACAATTATATAATACCTACCTGTTTTAGAGTTTTCTGACGGTTTTTATAAAAAAAAGCACCGAGTATCCTCGTCTCATAGTTAAATCTTATGTAAGCTGAGCTTCCGGGGAAATTATTGGACGTCGCTGGACGTATTATTGACACATGATCGCTTCTTTGTTATCATTGATTGATAAAGCGCTGTTGCGTGTAACGGATCATGCGGGATAGTCTGTAGAGTATGGTGAAGCAGTGTATACGAGAGAAATATTTATTAGCAGATGCGTTATCAAAACTCCTGTCCTAAGGAAACAAAACGGGGAAGTGGGCTCGTTTTTCATGAGAGCCACGTGGCATGTGAGGTAGCGGGTGGGCGGAGGATGGGCAGCTAGGGGAGGGGGCATGCAAGGAGGAACGATATTATAGCGTATGTGTGTAAGGTATGTGTACAGAATTACCTATGTATAGGCTGCGCATATATTTGTTGTATATGCGGTAGGTATTTTGTAAGATAATGTTGTATCGAAGAAAATAAGAAGCAATGCAGTGTGTATATTATGTTTGGAAAACATAGGGGAGAGGGGAAGATAGGGGGAGGGGGGAGGGGGAAGAAGGTAAGAAAGCATTAACAAGATGTATCGTTGTGTAAGGAGGGGGGGTTAGTGTGAGCCATGTCCAACAGGTCAGCTGGGGAGTCTACCCCAAGCCTAGCGACTGGATCAACGATCCGGGTATGTATGTGGGGGGGTTGGTGTATACAACACGGCCATCCTACGTGGCGCGGGAAACCTGTGGTGGAGCTCATCAAGATCGCATTAGCAGTTAGCCTGCATGTATAATATGCAGAATGACCCGA